CTCAATCCGTTCATCAAATTTCCCCACAGTCTCCCGCTGCCCCTTGATCTCTGCCATCTCTGCGGTGCACGATGTCTTCCTGCTCAATGGGTACCATCCAGAACATAGTGGTCATTCAATAAATGTTTCCCAAATGATTGCAGACTGAATGAAAGAATGGACTGTGGTTTCCCCCAGGGGATGCCCTGTGCTAATGCCCAATAAGTGATCACTCAATACTCATTAGTTAAGTGAAAGAAGATGGTAATCAGTAAATGAAAGTCACTGAGTGGAGTAACTAGCAGATACATCACTGGGCACGTTAGGCTGAGTTGCTCCACCGTGTGAGAGACAGAGCCATGCAGAGCCATGAACAACCTGAACACGACGGATGTATCTGAGGTCAGACGTGAAACATAACCCATTTCCATTCCCAACTCCATCTTGGGCTGAGAAGTAGGATCGGACAACGAGACAGTTCGGGTGCTGAAGCAAGCCCTGCGGTCAAAGCATAACCTGAGTGGGATGGGAAGTTCTAGGATACGTCAAACGATGACTGCGGCTATACAGAAGCTTTTACTAGACGTGAGTTCATGTGGGCAGTATCAGATCAAGGCTGACCTCCAGAGATTGGCTGCTTTTCTTCCTTTCGTGTATCAGTTCATGTATTCAGCCAATCATACACTTCTCTGAAACTGGAGGCACTGTTTGAACAAACAGCCATGGGTGTGCTAGCTGCTACTTCTGTAACTTGCTGGAAGCTGGTTACTAAGTTTTAATTCAGGAACTAGAGTCTTGTTATTCATCCCAGGCTGGTCTGGAACTCGTGACCCTTCTGCCTCAGCCTCCCAGTGCTGGGATTACAGGTGTGGACCACTGCACAGGGCTTAAGTGCTTAACTTGATGCTGCCTAATAAACACCCCAAGGTTAAGCTGATAAAGAATTACTAAATCACATTATAATCCAAATTGCTCCAAACAGAAGAGATGTTTAAATCACCTTTTACGTGATTGAGTTGTTGCCATGGGAACAAATAAATGTTACAAAAATTATCTCTCACGAGGACAAAGAGAAAACATAAATTATTAAACAACTACATGCTCATGAGGAGGTGAAGCAACTAGCAGTACAGGTAATGTGCGGATCATCACAACAGTACATGTGGAGGGGTGGTAAAAATCAAAGAAGAGGAAGGTAAAGCAAAAGAACAGAACTTCGCATCATTGTGAAGCTGTCCACGGGTTCTGATGGTGACAGAGGCGTTTCCAGTGATTACAGAGGCTCAGGACTTTTTCGTGCTGTTATGCTTTCTCCGGATATTTGTTCTGGAGATTGGGGCTAGTGCTATTGTTTATTCGTTTTCCTTGGGTGATGCTGTTTCACCTCAACACACAGAAAGTGAATGTCTGACACCAGCAGTCCCAGGGAGACCTAATTTCCCACCACACAATTCATTCTTACAATCATGCTATCTTGTGAACTGACACCTCCGGTACCTGTTTTGGTGGCTTGCCTTGACCCCAGCTCTGGTTACAATCTGATGCAAGGTGGTCTCTGTAGCTTGCTACCCTGAACCCTTCTGTGATGCTTCTGCTGTTTACGGTACTATGACAATGTTTTCTGGGTGGGAGAAGATTCAGTGGCATGCAGATACAGCTGCTGCACCTTGAAATCATGACACCGTCATGTCCTGAGCTCTGCATTGTTTTCTTTGCCTCATGGTTTGGTGCGTGAACTCTAGGGTGTTTAATTGCGGGTATCACTCACAGCCACCCCAGATCCTCCTGTCTTGCTTCATCATAAACAAGAAGCTGAGACATCCTAGGATGGCAAAAGGCCACCTTCATTGACAGGGAAGCTAAGGAGCCCACACACCTGTCTGATCTCGAGGAAGCAGAGGGAGGGTTTTAAAATTTCAAGCATGGACACACGAATATTGACTGCTGGGAAGAAATGAGACCATTCTGCATGCAGGCAAGAAAAGAAAATCAAAGATACTTCTCTGCAAAAGGCTTAGTGTAATTACCAGTTAGAGAAAATAAATGACAACAGGCTTTTATAACGTTTATGAATCTCACAGCTAATGTTCAGAGTAAAATAAGTTAGAACCCAGGAAAGCCACACAAGTCACAAATCAAACTTCTCACCTCATTCTCACACAAAGCAGCAATCTCACGCAGGTCACCCTGGGCCTGAGCTGTCCAAAAGCATGCCAAACAACTCCTACAGACTTCTCCCCTAAGAAAGCCAAGTCTGCGCCGCCTTACATAGCAGCTCTCAATGCTGATTCCATTCTTTCTCATGACACACTTTATATTTTCCTTCACTACTGAGCAAACCCTTAGCCTTTATGCTGTCTGTCTAGTTCCTCTTACACTATATTTCTATAAAATATTTTGTTCATAACTGGGCTTGGTGGCACACTCAGGAGGCTGAGGCAGGAGGATCTCCATGAGTTAGAGGCCAGCTTGGACTACAGAGTGAGTTCAAGGGCAGCCAGAACTACAGAGTGAGACTGTCTCAAAACAATAATTTTTTTTTAATCTTATGAAAGAGGTAGTACCTTTCATGACCTTTCATATAAAGTACTAGCCTTCTAAAAGTTTCCATTTCAAGCTCAGTAATGTTCAGTTCCTCTGTCTTTTCTTACTAATGTAATAAACCCTCCATCTTCCAGGATTTTAATCAAAAACATTTTCAGAGCCATGTCTTCCCATTATACAAAAGTATGCGTATTCCTGAGGAACGAAGCAGAGAAAAGTAGATGAAGTTAAACTTCTAACATGATTATAAGGAAGCCTCAATTCAGTCTTTAATCATAAAATGTTTCTTCTCAAATTTTTGTAAGCAGGAGGAGAAGGAGAAGCAGTGTACTACATATGACTGTGTCACGTAAGAAGACATGTGGAAGACCTGATGCCGGAGATCGATGAAAGTGACCTCTGCAGCCTGTGGCTGGGGGATGGAGGGCCAATTGGATTGACTTGGGGGTCTGCCCTGGGGATTGGTGGAGCCCCCTTCTGGGCATGTCAGGGGGTCATGGGGTCTATGTGTCTGGCCTTGGGGTCTCTGTTGGTTTCTCTCCTTCCTAGTTGGCACTATGCCTTCACGCTGCTTCCCAGCCACGGTGAACTGAGCAGCTCTGCTCTCCCAGGCCCTTCTGCCATGATGTCCCTGCCTCGGAGTCAGCTGACCATGTACTGAACCCCCTGAACACATGAGCCTAATTAACACTATCCTCCTTTAAGTCACAACTGTCAAGAGTTGCGCCCTAGTGATGGGACAGCTGTGTAATGATACGCAGATGTAGTCAAATGAGGATGAGGTCATAAGACACAGGCTGAGCCCTAAATCCCTGTCTAAGAAAGCCAAGTCTGCACCTTACATAGCAAGAAGGAGAGGGAGGTTGGACATGGAGACACAGCAGAAGGTCATGTGATGATGGAGGTGGACTTTGCAGTGGTATAGCTACAAATAAGCAAAGGAACACGAGGGAGAGCCAAGGAAGAATTCCTCCCTGGAGCCAGCAGAGGACCCAAAGCTCTACCCCATCTATTTTATTTTTAGTGCATGCAAATTAATTTGTCTTGGGGAGGGGGGACATGTACATAACACGTTTCCTTTTTAATCCCTTTTCCCTTGTCCTCTCCTCCTTCCTCTTCTAAATCCCCTGTCCCCATTTTCATTCTTGTTATTATTAATCTCACCTCACGTTTATGACATAATATTGACATTCAGTGAGGTTACTAGGTTCCTGTGCACAGCTTATCTTTATTCTGTGTATTTCCCTCTTCCCTGGGTCTCCTGGAACCCTTCCCACTTGCAAGAGCTCTATTTCCTTGTCTCCTACCCATCATTTTTTGTGTTCTGTACATTTTGCCTTACTGAAATGAGAGTCACTATACAGTATTTTAGCTTGCGTGTCTGATTTATTTCATTCAACATCCATTTTCCTACAAATGTCTTGAATTTATCGTCCTTTGTGGCCAAGTAGAATTCCATTAGGTATGGACACCACATTTTCTTTATCTGGTTGTCTGTTGATGGGCACACTGGCTGACTACAGGGTTTAGCTCTCTTGATGTCAGACTTCGAACTTCCATGACACGGAGAGGACAGATTTAGCTTTTGTTCAGTCACCGCAGAGGTGGGAATGTGTAACAGCAGGCACAGGGAGCAGACACAGGGAGTCAGGCTTGGAGAGAAGAGAGGACTCTGGACAGTGAACTTGTGTGCAAGTCAAGGGCTCATGTTTTGGCCCAGGACAGGTTGCTTAATGCATCTGAGCAATCTTTGCTACTGTGTAAAATCTGGAGCACTTATGTGAAATAACATAATCAAAAAGCCAGGCAAATAATAGAAAATCATTCCACAACTAGATGATTTTTGTTAATAAAGGGAGGAAAAACCCTAAAGCACTCTTATAATTTCAGTATTGAGTATAACAATCTTGCATAGTTTCTTAAAACCCTTTTAAGAGATAAGCTACACAGGAAAAATTACCTCAACTCAAATATAAAGTTGAGTGAATGTCACCATCAACATCTGAGTTGTAATAGAAAACAGCAGCACACTCCAATGTGTTTTTTTATTTACCGTTTTCATTTTCATGTAAACAACTGTTGTGGATACTTTTCTACGACATGTAACTGAGAAAAGAAGATTCAGTAAAAAGCCAACACATGGATGATGATTGTCTGTTATTTGACTAATAATTTAGGAAGTGAGAATGAATTGAAAAATAAAAGCATGAAGCCATTCTAGTTCACAATGTAAATAATTTCCAAGGAAAGGTGAATGAAATGGAGCCTCTCAAAGCACCTACATGGGTTGTGTTAGGAACTAAGTGACCCACCACATTATTTCTTAATTTTCTTGCATTCTAGGGGAATCAGTAATGAATGTACACACATTTTTCTCAAATGAAGTTTTATACGCTGTGAAATATGATTAGTTAAGTATAGCCCTTCATGTGCCATCACATCTTCAAATGGTAGAGGAACTAGATGGGCCTACTTACCAACACCAGCAGCAGCACGATATCAGGGTTGTCACACGCACAGGCGATGTGCATTGGCGTCCAGAAATCCTCATCCTGGTGGTTGACATTGACTCCTCTGTCAATCAGGATCTCTGCAATGAAGGCATTGTCATACCGAGCACACTGGAAGAAGAAAAGGAAAGAAAAATAAAATTAGAATAAACCGAGCTCCAAATGTCCATAGCAAACTATGAAATTCCATAGATAGAAAACTTCAGTGCCACCCTTGGAAGAAGAGACTTGAAGCCAAACTGGGAAAGAAGAATCCACCCTCCCCAACTAACCTACAGGCGAAGGGGCTGCGCCCTGCACTGATAGGAAACTGGGCCAAGGTCGGTGGGGGTTAAAGGAACAAAGTAAAGGCAGATATCAAGAATGTTAAAATGTATTTTACTGCGGAAGTTCTTTCCACCTGTAGACAGAGAATCTTCAGCCACTTAAAGTAATTACTAGAAAATCTTTGGTCATTTACAATCAATTATTTTCCAAAATACAGACCTACTCATGTTACACTTCTGCTGCAAAACATGGATAGTTTGCCATTACCAAAAAGAACAAAATTTAACCAGTTTTTGGAATCCAAGTGGACGAGACTCTGGAGAGTCACTTGGGCTTTATTCCTCACCATTCTCATAAGTGGCCTGTACACGGGTCCGGGAGGCTTCAAGCAATCCTCCCAGCGAGCTGTGTCAGAAAAGCTGCCTGCTTCTGAGGTGACTACACACTGCTCAGATGAAGAAATACAGATGGCATCTAAATACATGAAAACATGTTCAGCATCATTGGTCATTAGAGGAATGCAAATTAAAACAACACTGAGATTCCGTCTCACCCCAGAAAGAATGGCTATCATCAAGAAATCAAACAATAATAAATGCAGGAGGGGTTGGAGGGGAAAAAGGAACTCTTCTCCACTGTTGGTGGGAGTGCAGACTGGTGAAGCCACTGTGGAAATCAGTGTGGAGATTCCTCACAAAACTAGGATTAGAGGTCCCATTCCACCCAGCTATTCCCCTCCTAGGTATTTTCCCAGAAGAACTAAAAACATCATACCACAGCGATATATGTGCACCCATGTTTATAGCAGCACAATTTGTAATAGCTAAATCTTGGAAACAACCCAAATGCCCATCAACTGAAGAATGGATAAAACAGATGTGGTATTTTTATACAATGGAGTATTACTCAGGTATAAAGAAAGATGAACTCGAGGCTTTTATAGGTAAATGCATGCAACTACAGGCCATACTCATAAGTGAAATAAATCAGATTTGCATGTGTAAACATCACATTGTGTCCCTAGTGTAAGAAACTGAAAGAGTAAGTAAGATCCAAAAGTTGTAATAGATATAGTGAAAGGGAAAGAAACTGCTCAAAAGGAATGAACAATAGGGATGGAGGAAAGGAGAAAAGAAGGAAGGGAAAAGATATATGTGTACACAAGATAGCTAAGATAATTGTACCCCTAATTTCTATTATTTCATTGAAAGGAACAGTTAGTGTTTGTATTGTTTGATCAATTTTGCATGCCTATATCTTATAACCTGGGCAACTACTTTGAAGATCATAATGTGCAATATAATAAGCATTGTTAATTTCCTATCATCTTGTTTTGAAATTCTGTAGTTTTTATCTTTTTTTATTATTCTCCTTAATATAAAAAAGAATAGCTACCTGTTGAAATTAAATTGCCTCCTAGCTTAAATTCTAATAACTTTGTAATATTGTACTTTATAGATATTCCACAGCCCACTCAATCAAACCATGCAGGGATTTACTTTGATTTCTAACCTCAGATAAATACTGCACGTCTAAGTCAGGACTGACTTCCTGGGTACAGAACATGGAGAGCTGTGCTTAGAAGACTCCTGCACTGTGTTAATGTTCTACTGTTATCATCTTGAAATTGTAATGAGTATTGAAATTCCATATTCAATTATTTCTACTAATTTGTAGTTATCTATGAATTCTAGCAATTTCTAACAATCTAGTGCTATTAATTTCTAATAACCTAATATCAATTTCTCATAATCAATTAATTTTAATAGATTATTGAAAAATAATCAGTGTTTCTACTAGAGGTACTGTCATACAAATGTATCCAGTTATACAGTGGCTAGCATAAAAGTAAACTGGTGTGAGACCCCACCGCTGGGTATAACCTCCAAGTCAGGCAGCAAAGGGAGCCCTGCTGTTGTCCTGCTGACTATGTTGAGATCGCTCCAGGCACAGCAAAAGGAGGAGGACTCTGGGGTCGGGGGCTGGCAGGACTCACTGCTGCCCTGCCTGTACAAGAGTGTCACTGAAATTCACTGAGCAGAAAGGGCAGAGATGTCAGAGGAAGATTTCAGCATTTTGAAGGAGACCAACAACACTCCGCTGTGATGATCAGCGTGTGCTTTCCGAGCCACATCCCGAGGTCAGAGAAGGACCACCTGAGAAGGAAGAGTGCCTCCAGCACACGTGGCCCATGGACAGGGTCCTGCTCTGTCCAGACTGCAGACATCACCACCCATGGGGCTCTGGGGAGAGTCCTAAGAGCCTCCCCTTCAGATGAGGGTAAACGCTGCTCTGTTGCCACCTGAGAGATCTCCAGTCTAAGTCCTGAAAAGATCAAATTGATTCCAAATAACAGCCCCCACGAGGGCTCAAGAATATGTACACAGATATGAACACCTTGAATACTCAACATGTCAAACCCTCCTATGTCTAAAGTCTAATAAAAATGACTGTAAATACAGAAAAAAGCAGTAGAACGGCACCCATGTTACAAAGAAAATATTCTCCATGAGAAGCATCCAAAGGTGAAACACCTGTTAGAACTGCAAATTAGGACATCACAACCAATGCTGTAACTACACTCCATAGGATCACAGGGTTGGGGATTATTCACTTTGCTAAGTAGATACAGAAGAGAGATTAGAAGACTCAAATTTAATATGTCTACAGATGAGGGAGCCACATCAAATGTACTATTGATGTGGCCAGTAGCATCCTAGATATTACAGAAGACAAGAGTAGTGAAGAAGAAGGTGTAATGTAAATTACACAATACAAGAAGGAGAAAATATCTTTAAAATATAATTTAATGTTTGAAATTAATAACAGTGGAGTATGGAGTTTATACTATATGTAGGTGAACAATATACGAAGAGATGGAAACATAATATTGTCAGTCATGCCTTAAACTACATGCAAAGGGGTAGAATATTACAGAGATGAGGGTGGGTTCAATCAAAGGGATAGCCAAAAAATACCAAGGAGAGAAGTCACAACAATAAACCCAGAGAAGGCACAAAAGAGGACAGCGGAACAAATGCGAAGAGTAAACAAAACGCAAATGATAGATTTCAGTCTAACCAGAGGTATCAGATAAGCTAGCAACAAACTGGTAAATACATTTTTAATTAAAATGGCATCAAAATGTGGAATATTTAAGAATGTATAGCAGTGACTACAACATACAATTAATGTTCAAATTTTTTAAAATTATAGTCAAAGACATATTGCCAATAATCACCTCCCAAATCCTCCCCCTCAATCAAATACCCTTACCCCACCCACTACACTGTCTCTTTCTGCAGCAGCTCTTGAGTCCTCTTTCCTGAATGTCTTTATAAAGTGTGATAAAAAAATATGGTGAGTGCTGCAGCCTAGTGACACCCAACAGGAAGGCAGGCCCCTGAAAATACGACGCTGTGTTCTCATCCACCTCAGTCACTGGACCTGATACTGTGTGACTTGTTCCTCCCCAACGTCAAAATGATCATGAAAGTGAAACATTTTGAATTGATTCAGGAAACCAAGGCAGCCAGAACAGTAGCAGCTGAAGACATTCATGAAAGAGGACTCCAGAGCTGCTTCTGAAAATGGCAGTGAGGATGTGATAAGTGTTTTGAAACAAGGGGGAAACTTCTGAGGGGGACTCATAGCAGTGTGTCTTCTAGTGTAATAAATGTTTTTAAAGCACTTATTGTATGCTTTGATCATACCTCATACCTGATAAAAATATGTAAAAGACCTGCATGTTGAAATCTACAGAACATTAGTGAGACAATTTTTTTAAACTTAAAAAGTATGAAATATAGACTTTGTTCATGGGTCAAAGACACTGAGTCCTGGGGCTGGGGATTTAGCTCAGCGGCAAAAGTGCCTGCCTGGCAAGCGCAAGGTCGTGAGTTCGGTTCCCGGTACCGGAGAAAAACCAAAAAAAAAAAAAAAAAAAAAAAAAAAAAAAAAAAAAGACATTGAGTCCTTAAGCAATTCTTCCCAACTTGATATATAAATTCAATTCAAGTGCAACCAAAATTCCAGAAGGTGCTAATGTGGAATCTAAAATAATGACTTTAAAGTCCATAAGTTAACAGTTTTAGTTTTGCATTGATGACAGAGGTGAGAAACAGTAAAAGTATTCAATATATTAAATTTAGAGTGTGGTACTTGGATCCAACTTATTGTATGAAATTCTCAGCCAAATAATTTCTTTTCTACACTCTTTATGATAGCTCACTGCATAGTAATGCATAGGACCCAGAATGGCCCAACAAAAGTTGAATAAAAACAAACCTGTAGACTATAGTCACCTAACTTCATGACTTTTTATAGAGTTACAGCGATCAATGTAGAGTGATGTTGGCATAAAATCCAATGGACTGATGAAATACAAGAGAGAATTCAGAAATAGATCAGCACATACAGGGACAACCTACTTTTGAGAAAGCCGAAGAAGCAATTCAGTGGAGAAAGAATGTTCTTTCAATAAATCTTGCTCCAACAGCTGGCTGTATACACATAGAAAAACCTTTCTGTTTTACACTTTGATCTGCATCAGAGAGAAAATCTATTTATAATGCAAAATAGTGAAAAGTATAAAAACTAAAGTTACCAGTTCTAACAGGGACATAGGAGAAGGTCTAGGTGATACTCCCCATCACCATGATGCCTGATAAACTCAAGCGTACAGTAAGTCCAGTGAAAAACCATGGCATAAGGTCCCTGTGGATATTAGCAGGTAGGGATGTTGGGATGCAGGGATGCAATCCAGGTGCTGGAAAATGCATTGATATAATACTTCCAGCTTGGAACTGAGGTCTTTGTCTGTGATGTTCCAAATTGTGTGTGTC